AAAAAAAAAAAAGAATTATTGGTAAATGAAATAACGCAATTTTATATTGCAAATGTAATATCAAGCTTCCTGCAAACATGACATTGTGTGACCCAGTTACCAGCATAGAGAACCTTTGAAAGGATTTTTTTATCAGAAGTTTAGACAGGTATGTATGCAGAGTAGTGTTTCGTATAGGATCAACAACTCTTTTCAACTTACAGTACAGAGTGATAACAATTTGAGCATCAGTGGGCTATTCACAGTGCATTCAATTGAACAACTTTATATGTCAAGCAGGACAAACAATCCTTATTTCAGTTATTTTAAACCTAACTAATTTGATAAGTGTAAGACAGTGCAAATATATTATCTTAAGGATTATAATTCTTATGGAGGAAGGCAGTAATGGTATTCAGTAAGTAATTAGTGATCAGTTACCTACAGCCTAAAATATACAAAGCCAAAGGTAAAGCTGACTGAATCCTCTTTATCTGCTTTTTTGAGGGTGTCATACAAAGATTCCCGTGACACCTTTTACATGCCTCATGTTTCTAGAGGACATTATTAAATGTGCTTTTAATGTTTCAACGAGCTATTACAGTCAAGGTCTAGTAGTTATGCAAAAGCATTTCTCAAATAAAAAACATAGGTTGCATCTGGGTACATCTACATTGACAGTGGTATGTCTTCCAGTAGTGTGTGTGTGCGTTTGTGTGTGTGTTTGTGTGATGGGGGGTACGTATCATAAATTCTGGAAACATTGTGCAATGTAAAGATGATTGCACCCCTCATAAGGGCACAATCTAACAAAGCATCAAGAAATATATATATATACATACCTAGTCCAACAAGAGCAAATCCCTGGGGTGGCTTCAACAACCTTCGAGACCAAGCTACACTGAGACCTTCCAGATCAACATCTTTTCCACCCACAAGCAGAACGTGTGGCTGAAGTATGCCTATATAACGCAAGCTTCCAACAACCTCTCCAAGTTGAGGATTCCAGTAACAACTGCTGTTTTTGTGTTGAAAATCTTCAAATATCCCAATACCGCTTTCTTTGCGCTTGGTTTTCTCCTCCGATCCTAGGTCGCTGATCGTGATGCTGGTAGAGCCCCCAGCCGAAGCAGAAGTCTGCGAAGAAGTTGACGAACTCGTTTCGTTTAGTGACGAGTCTGATACTTCTTTTAAAATAAGAGCAAAACACTTGGAAGTAATCCTGACATTCTTGGAACTCTTTTTCTCCTCTCTGTGAGGCTTCGACGACATTTTGACTGGCGATTTCAAGCTACATTTCAGAACAGCACCACAGCATTGCACCCGCTCTGAACTCAAACTCACTCCTGCTGTCTCTCGCCGATTCTCGTCATGTGCAGCTTGACGTACCTGTTATAATGAAGGTGATTGCGCGAAGCCAACAAGCGTCACAACTAACACAATGAGATCTCTATCGCGGACCCCAAAGTACTCAAAGTATATGCATGTTTTTCTGAATTAACGCATTTTATGATAGATGTTTGTGTATATGCAAATCTAAAAAAAAAAAAAATCTCACCAATGAAATTCTAAAATTTTGCTAATTCGAACTAAATATACTTTATTTCATCTCAATAAATGAGTAAATAAAAAGAAGGAAAGAGAAGGAAAAATGCCGTTTGCGGGGGCCATAAAATAGCGTAGCCTATGTAACATGTAGCAAACCACAGATTGATATAAATGCTGAATTATTGGGTACAACTACCATAATCGGATCAAAGTGTTTTTAAACCCCATTAATCGTCCCCTGCATTTAGCATAATTACTGTAATTGCTGTTGTAAAGCTTTTCGTGTTCAGGTTTTTTTTTTTTTTTCAGCAAGTAATCTATAGCTTCTTTTGAAATTGTTATTGTCCATTTACCGATTATGCATCCACCTTCCTACATTACATCATCCCTTCTTACAGTTTTGTAATCCATACGTTATCATCTTCAATTTCTAAATTAAACGTAGCGAAAACAGCCAGTGGAGCAGATAGTATGAGAAATTGTCAAAAGATGGCGACTGTGCATACAAAATTGCGGAAGAACATTTATGCGATACTAAGCGACGACAACTGAAGGAGGGAAATTAAAATGGAATCGAAGCAAGCAGAAAACATCGAGAAGACTGCAGTTATAACCACTTGTTCATTTTATAGCAAGAAGTCAATTTCACAAGGAGTGAAATCCAGGTACCTGATAACATGTAGTGAGTCAGTCTAATCGTAAGCACGTAACGCTATGATACCCCGTAGTCAAACATATGAATGCCTCAGTTTTCGGCTTTACCTTAGGGTACTTTCCCTTAAGTAGCTCGTAAGACCGACACATCGGCCCTACTCTAGTCCTAGGTCAATTAAAATAGTCTCAGAGAAGATGCACAGCAAGCCTGGGTCTCACACAAGTTTAACTAACTTTATTAAATTTAATAGATTATAATTTATAAGTCTGTCGTTACTTCTGTCTGTCAGAATTCAGCTCTTTCTCTCTCTCTCTGTATATATCAAAATCGTCAATAGGAGTGTAAATGCATGGGATTCATGCACACACTCTCCAATTCTATCCATTCTAAATCTGTTATTTGCAGAGTGTAGGATTGGGAATGGTTAAAATCATGGTCTTTTACCTTTGTTGATCCATCCTCCATATTTGACCCTTTTGTGACAGAAAAAATTAGATGGCCATCAGTGAAAACTTAAAAATTTTGAGTGTCTGTCGAAAGACCCAGAAGACCGCTCCTGTCCTGATCTGACAGGCATTTATTTCTATTTTAGACAGAAATGGGCACAGAAACTTGAGAAACATGAAGAAGAAATTCGGAAGTTGACAATACCAAGTCCTTATAAAATAAGGTAATATTGAAGTACAGTGATATAAACAGAAAGGTTACCATTTCTTGATGATTATCATAATAGTATTCTATAGAAATTATCCACGATAGTCTAAAGGTAGTCTAAAACAAGACTGTCTGTATTGCATGTCATCATACAAGACTGAAAAACAGACAAGAATCCATGTGTGGTGGGGATAACCTTTTAGGAACAAGGATGAAGACTATGTGCTGGAAATGTCATCTTAGAGATCAGTGGTAACACGCAAAACATGGTGAAAATATACTATTGTGCAAAAGACTGTAAGTTGATAAAGGAAAGAACCAGAAAAAACCCATGGATTAATTTTGTCAGCTTACTAGTATACTAGTACATGTGTATGTTGTCACACAGCACTTTCTAGTCTTGTCATTATTTCTCACTCCTCTCTCCTCTAAATTCCACGAAATCTTATTTGATATTATGCTGAGCCTTGAGACTTTGGGCTATATTGTAATGATAACCATATTTTTAATTAGCCTTTCTCTATGGGGACAGAATAAACTTGAACCATGGTAATCTCATCTCATATCATATTCAACAGCATTTTTTCTACTTATTACACCATGCAGTTGATAAATGGGGTCATGGCATCATGATTTGCCATATACAGTAAGAGTTTTGTTTGCTGCTACACATTACCCAGTGCTGTTTTATTAGTGTTTGAAGATAATGATTTTTATGACTGTTAACTGACAACTTCCAGTTTAAAGGGACCAGCTTCACAATGGACTGTGTTCTTCTCACAGAAAGATGCCTTTCAGTTTGCTAAGCGGGATCCACAGGTAAGTATTGGTTAACAAACCAAGCTTAAAAAATGAGGAATTCTATAAATGAAGTTCATTTACTGTTGTTAATGCTGATCAAGATTCATCTGTCACAGTAACTGTCACATACAACACAAGGTACTGGTATTGCTGAACAAAGAATTTTTACTTTCATGCTGTTATGGTACACATTATCATTTTACCCAATATCTTAAAAAAGAATAAAAAAGATGTGTTGAGAATGTGTTGTATCAGATGTTACATGATATAATTATTCATCATTGTATTTGTTTGGTTATGTTTAATTTATTAATTGCAGGATCTTCATGTTTTTGCCTATGAAAGTGAGCTTTTAAATCATGGAGCACAAGGAAAAAGAATGTATTTGACAGCAAGCTATCACCATTTCTGGCACTATTACAGGTGAATATATTGATAAAGCCTTATTATGATTGAACTTGCTTCCTTTTTTTTCTCAAGCTGAAAGAATAGGAATAGCTTGCTCTTGTTGCTTTAAAAGATAAGTGGTAATTGTTAACACCTGGGTTTATTTATTTATTTATTTATTTATTTATTTATTTATTTATTTATTTATTTATTAATTATTATTATTATTATTATTATTATTATTATTATTATTATTATTATTATTATTATTATTATTATTATGTTAAATAAGACTATTCAATTTTGCAGGCAGCTGCCAGAATCAAAGAGGCTGCACTATGAAATCATACCTGAAGGTTTGTCTGTTTTTTATTATGTAGGCTTGTAGCCAGCATTTTTAAAGGGGGATTCTTATTGGGGAATAATGGACCTTTTACCTTTTTAAGTGACCCAGCTTGAGAAATGGCCCAGAATGTATCAGTAGAACATTTTTTCATACAGAGTAGACCTTTTTCTGCTCAAAGGGTTAATCTTTAGAACCCTTTACACTAAGAATGTGCCTGTAATGGATTGCTTGATTGATTGTTTATTCTCATGATGTCTCACTTTGTACACTTTATTTTTTAGTGTGACTTAAAGGGAGTGTTGCATGTAATTGGACTTTTTAATTTTTTTTTGTTTTCCTATGGCATAAATATGAGTGCACTTACCTCAGATCAGTCTTATTTGTAACATTTTAGGAGCAGTGTGTAAGCTGTACTTTGATTTGGAATTCAACAAAAGTTTGAATCCCTCCAAGGATGGAGATGTAATGGTGGACAGCTTTATCAAGGTAAAATGAGAAATTTAAAATACTATTTTGGGACACTGATTCAATTTGTTGAAGATTGTTAAAAACATCACCACGTTCTTTGCATTCAAATATTAAATAGATGGCATATGCACACAGACTTTAAAACTGTTTTCGAAGAAAGTATTTATTTTAGTAATCAGATATTGACAAACACTAGGGCCAGGTGTAGATTTAGAACATTTACTTATACTATCTCAACTGAATGTCTCATTATCTTCATAGTAATAAATAGGAGGAATGATGGAAATACAAGAGTTCCTTCTTAAAAAAGTTCATTAGTCCGATAGTTATACATGGATTGTGGAATTAATCATTCCACAGTTTTTAGTTTTCAGCTAAATATTTTCTTACCATCTAATTTTCGGTTCTACTCATGAGCCTTCCCTAGGACTAACTGGCCGTGCACTGATGTTGTAACGCTGAGTTGTAATCATTGACCAATTAACCTGTCAGTGTCCCTCTTGGCCCCCCAGACCACTTACTGGTATATTTAGATATTCTGTATGTATAATATTAACTATCAAGGATAGTATACTTTTATATCTTTCATATAATTTTGTTTACTTGTGTTTCCTTTCAGTTTGTGTGCTTTCATTTGGACACTATGTTTGGTGTATACTGTGACAGAAGTATGGTGCTTGATCTAGATGCCAGGTGATACCATGTTGAATGTATTGTATATGAAGAACTTAAGACTTTTGCCTGGGATAAACTTGAATTTTGAGTAACATATACATAAAGTACATATAAATATATATACAGCAGCCATGTTTGACTTACCATTATAATGCAAAGAAATTATTTTTAAAGAACATATGATTGTATTTAATATTATAAAATGTTTTTTTTAAAGAAACATATGGTAACATAAAAGTTTTATCAGATTTGCTTTTAAATCTGTGAAGTACTGGTATATTCTTATATTGTAGCTTATTGTAACATAAATCTTTTCTTTTTTTAGCACCACAGAAAAGTTCAGCTCCCATTTGATTTTCCAACTCCCAGGTGCTGTCTTCAGAAATAATGTCCATGCAGGTGCTAATTCTTTCTTTATTTCTGTCTTCTTTTTTTACAAAGTTTTATGTACATATTCAATGTTTTGTATGATTTCACATGTCCTTTCTTGATATTGAATTCTTAAATTATTTAAGGTTAAATAATTAAACATCAAGAAGTAATTAAAGAAGCATATATTCGAAATATATGTATCTGATGTATTTGTTGTTGCTTAATTATACAGATCTAAAAAGGTAGAAAATGTTGAATGTTGTCAAATTTTTATCAAAACATTACATAAAGTTAAAAATTTTGTTGTGGATTGGTTTTTCTGTAACCATGGGCTGAATATTGAGCTACAAATGTTTACTGAAATCTGTGCATTAAGACATTTTACTTTATAAGTTTTTTTTATTATTTTTTTTTATTCAAGGGCATTTTGTGCGTAAAATTTGTAAGAAGTTAATAGACATGTGTGCAGAAAGCAATGAAAAACAGTCATATATGATCAGTGATGCTCCTAAGACAACAACTGACTTGTACCAAAATACGCAAGACGGTGATCAAACTAATGCTGGTCATTCAGAGATAAAAGAAGTTTACAAAAAGCAAAAAATGGATCCACTGGTTTCATGTGATGGTCATACAATAAGTTCATATATTGCTGTTGGGGGGAGTGAATATTCTGTAAAGTATCCTGGAAAGGTGTCACACCGGGCTCCAAGTGACAGCTCAATACCTGGGAAGTCTACAGATCTTACAGTTGATGACATTAACTTACCTGGAAAACCAGCAGATGTCATCTGTGATAACAGGTTATTACCAAGAAAATCTCCTCAGAAAGTGTTAGAGAGAACCAAAGAAAGCAGTCTTTCAACAATTTTTAAAGATGATGAAAGATGTGTTGAAGCTGCTTCAAGTCATTTGCACAGTGAATGTTCTGTACAGGACTCTAAAAAACTTGGCATATGTAAAGAGGAATTGTTCAATTTACTGGTGCTGGATAAACATGAAAACAGAGTTTTGTTTTGTGATTTGGGTAAGTATTTTATCTATAAATGACAAACTGCATTTATTGCAGTTCAGACTAGTATAAAAAAATAAAAAGAAAATTTGAATCTTCGGTTAAGAGCAATATTTTTCTCTATCTTGAGTGTAACTCCAGTATTTATGTGGCAATTTTCTTTAAAAATTGTAAATCATAGTTGGCTAAAATTAAATTTTCCCAGTTAACATATTTCATATCTTTGCCATGAGATGAAATGTGCCAGTGTACATTTTATTTGAAAATGCTTTGTATCCATACTTTGCAAGTTTTAAACATTCCATTATAGCAAAATGATATAATTTATCACCAGTCATGGCAAAATGACTAGGTTGTTTTTATTAAGTCACCATCTTTTACCACAAGTATCAGACACAAGTATCAGATTTTTTTCTGAATTTTTAAACTTATTCCTTGTATTTGTTATTTTAGCTGTTTACACTAAGAACAGGAACTTCAGGCTGTATCTTTCCAGTAAATATATGAAGAACAACCCTCTGAAGATTTCTAAAAGAAATCAGTACAAGCCTCATCTTGCAAACAGTGATGTGCCATCATATGAATTGTTCTTT